AAGAGCAGAATGGAAGGAACATGCCTTCTTGCTCAGCCCAGGCACAATAAACAAATCCAAGTTGAGTGAAAACCTCAACTGCATCCCTCTGTGCCAAGTACCAGTAACTGTCCCGGGAGAAGCTCCCTAATTGGACCGAACCAGTTTACACATTAAAAGTGTTGGTGGCAGGGAACACAATGCGCCCTAGATTCATACTGTTTTCATTAAATTGCTTCATTTGATTCAAGTGCATCCATTACGGTAAGTTTTCAATGCTGCACACTTCAAAAGAAAGCCAGACAAAACAACAATCTAGAATTCATTAGTTTAGACTATGAACTCCAGATTTGGCGCAGGTTGGGTATCCCTAATCCAAAATGCTTGGGACCAGAGCACTTCAGATTTCAGATGGGAATGACAACAGAGATTTTACCCACTGAACATCCCTAATCCAAAATTCAAAACCAGGAATGTTCTGCAGTCAAAAGCTTTTGGGGCACTGATAGGGATGGTCAACCTGTATACAGCACATTTCCATCCCAGTATGTTTAGGGATGAGCCTGTGTACAGAACATTTCCATCCCAGTATGTTTGGAGTCACGTTCCACCTGGCACTTTTGTTGGTGCTTTAGTTTTTGAGTCTGGGTCTCCATGGAATCCTGGTTGGCCCTGAATTTCTCATTCTCCCACCTCTGCTTCCTGAGTGCTAGGACTGCAGGACTGTGCACTGCTTCCCGGTCTCAAGCACGCTCTTTAATCCTGTGCCCCCACCCCGAGACAGGGTTTCTCTGTGTAACAGCCCTGGGTGTCCTGGGACTAACTTTGTAGACCAGCCTGGAGTTGAACTACAGAGATCTGCCTGCCTCTGCCTCCTGAGTGCTGGGTTTAAAGGTGTACACCACCACTACCTGATATAAGTTGCATGTGTATGTTTGCAAAAGCGTGTGGGTGTATAGCCTGTGTGCAGGCCAGAGGTCAGTGTCACTGTCTTGCTCTACCACTCTCCTTATTCCCTTCAGATAGGATTCCTTACTGAACCTGGAGCTCTTCAGATTGGCTGACCCCCAAGTTCCCAGGATCTGCTTGTCTCTGCCCCCTCCCCCTACCCCCCCCCCAGGCTTCAATACCTTTATGGGGGCTAGGATCTCACGCTTGCCCAGCATTTTACCCACTGAGCCATCCACCAGTCTGACACTCTTTAAAAAATATACCTCAGCACCACATGCTGAGAGCTTAGAAAATGTTTTCACATACATTAAAAACAAAACAAAAAGCAAAGTTTGCCTTTGGCAGTTTTGGCACCAGTGAGTATGTAAGGGTGGGTGGAGACACCAGAGAGGTAACATCACATTTAGAAGCAAAGGGCATTTTTAATAATAGCGGTGTTCATGCACCCTGGATCAGATACTACAGATCAAGGATTCTCTCTGCAGCAGACACTGTCTGGAGCTGTTCCATGGGAATTCCTGAGGATCACTGTCATGTTTACATCCTTTGTAATCCGTATCCAAAAATAACTGGATTCAGCATGGAAACCAAAATAAGCTTTCTAAACATTTCAAATATAAGTCCCAATGCCACACCAAGGTGAAAAATGATTTCTAGGTATGTTTTGTAACCTCTTCCAAGTATGTATCCCAAAGAAGTCCTGGCCAACAAGGCTCCACATGAATACCCGGTACTTCCTCCAAGGGATTCCCATAGCTTTCCTCTTCAACAAACATGAAGGGGAAAATATTCAGGCAAAACCGAAGGGTCAAACATATCTAAGTTAGTGATGGCGCCTATGCCATTCACTGCCATTACGACTAGTTGGTGAGAACTAACAATCAACTGAAAACACAGGTAATGCTCTGGCGCAAAACTGTTGCCATGGAAAATACCCCATTTTGCAATCAGCAGTCTTTAAGACTAGCTTAGCTAAGGCTTCTATTGCTCAAATAAATACCATGACCATTTGGGGAAGAAAGGTTTGTTGTCTTCCACTTTCAGGTAATTGTCCATCACTGAGGGAAGCCAGGGCAGGAGTAAAGCAGGATCCTGGAGGCAGACTGAAGCAGAAGTCTCACGCACTGATGCTTATGACTTGTTCCTCGTGTCTTCTCAGCTTGCTTTCTTATACCATCCAGGACCACCTGCACAGGGTGGCATTGCCCAGTGGACGGGTCATTCCACATCAATAATTGATCAAGAAAATACCTGACAGACCTGCCTACAGGCCAATCTTACAGATGCATTTTCTCTGTTAAGATCTCCTCTTCCCATATATATCTATGTTTGTGTCAAGTTGGGAACCAAAACCAAACTAAACCAGAACAGCCACCTTGCTCAATTTTAACTCTGAGCAATAATACAGATCTCTAGGTCTCCCAACATTTTCTCTCCTTTGGATTGCCATTCCTTCTGGGATAATCCCCCAGTCCCTCCCTGTCTACCACTCTCTCTAGGTGATCCGATCATGTTAGACAGAAATGCTCTATAGCATTCTGAAGCATCCATTACCAGTTATCCGAGGCTGAATGAAGACACAGTGACAGCTACTCACTGTCTGGTGCCAGACGTGGGAAGCCGACAGCTCAGAGCACAGCTGCCGCCTCTGCACTGCTTCAGCTTCCCAGGGCTTTAGTGCAGAGGTCCCTGGTCTTATTCAGACATGCAAATGCACCCTTCCTCTACTGCCATGCCAGCAGGCTACAAGAGTTCAAAACGGCCCTTTGCTAAGGCTATAAACTCCTAGGAACATAGGATAACCAGAAAAATCTAATCCTGCCCTCCCCTGTCTAGAGTGTACAGTGGAAAGGAGAGGCATGCAGAAAATGACAACAGGAATGAAATTTTTCCCAACTGTCCTTACTTCCCTTTCTCCCACACATGACTGATGAGTGTGAATGACAGGTTTATTGTTTTCCCAGACTGCCTTGGGCTCCTTCTTATTTCCCAGACCAATTCTGGCTGATTATCAAATTTCCTAAAGATGGGCAATAACCTCAGGGATTATCCTGCTGTGCTACCGAATATTGAACACTGCAGAGCTCAAATCAATTTGATCTAGGTAATCTATCAACATTTTTTTCATATACTCAATAAAGCCAAGGTAGGTGAGAACTATACAAGGAAAGCCTTATCACACCTTTTTCCTTATTCTTTATCCTTGTCATTAGTTGCAATTCAGTAAGACCAATGTCAAAACACTGATACATTCTTATGATGAAATAAAATTAGTAAAACTGTTTGGCAGTGGGCGGGGAAGATGGCTCAGTCAGCAGAGGAGACATAGAGACCTGAGTTTGATGCTTAGCACTCACACAGAAGCTGGATATGGCAATGTGCATCTGCAATTCCAGTGCTAAGGAGACAGAGACAGGACCCTTGAGGTTTGCTGGCCCAGCTCAGCACAACACACTGATGAAAAATCAAGGTGGAGTGTGACTGAAGATAGCCAGGGTCAACCCAGTGCATGCACGAGCATCCACACAGACAATGGGGCTGTGATACACTAAAGGAAGGAGGAAATACATTTTCTGTAGTCTACATTCAGTTAAATACAATTTAAAACTATTTATTATGGGACTTGGATATAGCTCAGTGGTAGTGTCAACCTAAATGGAATGTGCAAGGATCTAGGCATCAATCAACCCCAGTATCAAAAAGAAAAGAAAACAAAACACAAACAATAGCAGCAGCAAAACACACTTTGCTGTAACAGGAATGTTCATAGAACCTTTATTTTAAAATTGTGTATTAAAAACTTTAGTCAGGTGTGGGGCTCACACCTGTGATTCTAGCACTTGGGGACAGAGGCAGAAGTTCAAAGTTATTTTTTGCTACATAGTGAGTTCACAGCTAGCCAGAGCTACATGGATCCTATCTCAAAAATAGAATTTGTACCTTAAAATTCATCACATAAATCACATCTTAATGTGAAAAGACAGACTATCAGTAAAAGAGAATAGGATGAAAATGTAAAAAAACAACAACATATACATGCACCTTATATGTTTAAATAACTTTAAATTTAAAATCAACACAAATGAAAATATCTGAACAAACATCTGTGACTAGGGAAAATCACTTCAGTTAGAAACTGAATTGCTTTAAAAAAAAAAACGAAGCTCTATCTCAACAAAAATAGGCTTCAGGAACAAATGAAAGCAGCTTTTGCTGGACATCACTGGTAGAAGAAAACTGCCACTTGCTTGGCATCGGGTGTGAGGGCCAAGAGCAATGCCTGTGAGTAGATCTGCTTTAGAAACCCACTGTTGCTGACTTCCCCCAAATATCCAAATTCATTAGAATTCTGTTCTAAGACCTTAAAAGTTTAAAATAACCGTAGACTATGAACTCTGAAGAGTAGCAGCAGCTGGGGTGAGGACTTACGTTGAGATGAGTGCTTGCCTAGGACATGCAAGGCCCTGGGTTCCACTTCCAATGTCTCCAAAGTCAAATGAGCAGCAGCAGTATCACTAAATGCAGGCTGAGCATTCCTAATCTCAAACATCCCGAAAGCCTCTGAAGTGCTAAAACTCCAGGAATAATATGACCCCACAAGTGGAAAATGCCACGCTGTGAGCTAGATTCATGGCTAAAATTATGAATAATAAAGTGCCAGCAGGTTGCATGTACACAGATCACAGGGAACGAAAGTGAATGCAGTGCTTGTACCTGGTCCTGCCCTTAACGTTTGTCATTAGGAGTTGTGTCTGCAGCATTTGTGATGTCAGCGGCTTGGCCTGTAACACTGGCTGTGTGCCAGGCTTTGACTAATACCTTCCTTGTACCTCAGTTACACATCCTAAAGCAGTGGGCACTATTACTACTTTCATTCCGTAGCTGTAACAATCTCAGCCAAGGACAGTGACCTGCCAATTTTTAACTTGACATCATCTATATCTCACAAGGAAAGCTATTACAAAGAATACACTGTAAAATATGTCTCTATGTGTGTATCAATTTCTTATAGGGAAGGGAGAAATTTCAAAAAGAGAAGTGAAGAAATATTAGAAAAACTGCTACCACACTTCAGTAGAAACAGGGTTTTATTTTTGAAAACAAAAGTAAAATTCAATTTTAAAACAAAATATATTTTAAAGCATACTATATCCAATATTTACATATCTTAGAACACAGACGCCATGACTAAGTGTCTACATTTTAGAGGCAGTTTGAAAAATCAGAGCTAGCCTGTTTACCTGTGAAGAGGAGACTCCACTTGATGAAGGATCACAGGCCCAGAAAGTCACAGCTGTACTCTTCCTCTCCTGTGTGGACCTTGGGCTACACGTGATGTATGTGTAGAAAATGTTAAGTGTGGAACATGTAGGGATACAGATCTTGAAGCTTTGGAGACCTTTGTGGGGAAGGCCTTACGGGGAGGGAAGAGGAGGGAGTAGCTGAACATTCACTCACAAATGAAGCAAACTGAACAGAGGGCTGGTGGGTGGCAGGCAGTGCTGAGAGCGAAGGAGGAGGGAGGAGGGAGGGATCACCAAAAATAGAGTATACATAGCAGTCCATTGTAAAACTCATTACCAACCAGAAATCAAAACACCTAATAAGAGAACTTCGGTTGAAAAATAGAAAACAGAGTGTTACCAAATTTTGGAGCTTTATTGCATTCATCACCTATACATGGAGATAATTAACTAGAGTTTTGAAATGATTTCCAACTAGGGCCTGACAGAAATATCAGCTGTTTTGCTGATAAAATTGATTTTTACCATTCACTTTGCAGAGTTCAAATACGTCTTTTACATATTCTTTATCACTGATATTTTAATAAAGCTCTACCTGATTGGAAAGAACTATCCAGAACTTCAGATCAAGTGAAAGGGTGATGAGATCGTGACAGACGGTGTCAGATGAAGGTTAAGGCCTGTCAAAGTTTCATGGCAGCTCTTCCCAGAAGTCCAAAGCAGTCGCCATCACGCCTGTGTACTGATTGTGTTCTTTCCATGGGTGCCCTTGGAACTGTCTGCAGTGCTACTTTTTATGGATGCTAATAAGCCTTTGACTTTTTCACTCACCGGCTTTTTCTTCTTCTTGGAGAGAGGTGTGTTGACTGCCCCAGGTGGTAGCAGGAGGGTGGCCAGGCCCCAGGGCTTTTTACTTGAAAGGGAAGGCTGACCCTTATCTTCCTGTTCCAAGATCCAGGCACTGTCTCTGGCCAAATCCACAAACTTCTGCAGCTGGCTCTGACTCACATTCTTGCTTATATTGAGAGATGTCTCAAAAGGGTTCTGGATGTACAGTGGAGAGGAGTCGGGCTTGTTCTGCTCCCTTCCCTACAGACAACACAGAAGATACACACATGTAAAAAGGGACACATAAGCCAGAGAGCAAAGAACTGCTTTCCCCAGGTTGGTCTTGGCTACATATGCATTTATATGAGTGTGTATATAACCAGCTTTTCTTTTTACCACCTAGTTTATGAGTATTCTCTAAAGAAAATTACTTAGGTTTGTAATCTACAAATGATGATGTCAATGCTCAGGTGATAGGTATCTGGACTAGGTCAACAATAAAAATCCTCTACACATAATACAACTACTTAAAAAAAGAAGGGCTTGGAGAGAGGGTAAGGGAGGGAGGAAGGGAGAGAGAATATAAGTAAAGCTAATCTTTACAAAGTGGCATGTGCTAAATCAGGCCCCAACAGCTGAAAGTGAGGGAGGCAGTACAATCTACCCATCCTTAGGACTCCCAGCACATGCCTGCAACCAAGCACTGGGATGTGCAGGCAAAAGGACAAGGACAAGGCCAACTGCATGTACATGGCAAAATTTGTCTCAAAAATAAGATAAATTCTATCACTGAACACAACTTTTTTTAAGCAACCATATGTAAACCCTGGGGATGTTATTCTACATCTTGAAGGATACAGTCTTAGCTTCAAAAACAAACCAGGCGCTGTGACAACAGCAGATGATAAGAGCTGCCTCTGTTCTTGCAGCTCTGTGGGTGACAGCGCTCACTCAAGTGCCATAGACCATTTTAGTTCCATCTCATGACTGTTACTTAGACCCAAGCATTCTTTAGAGTGCTTTAGAAATGAACACTGGCACAGCAGACAGCTAGTTTACAACAAATGCCCACACATTCTTTACCTGTCGAATATTTATGGAATTTTTATTGAAAGCGAAATTGCCAAAATACTCAAAAAATTCCTTCAGTAGTAATTCTGTAAGAAAACAAGATAAAGAAATTAAGAGGAAAATCTAAATCCAAAAAGGAACAAAAAGAAAGGAAAAAGACTTACCTAATGTTTCTGTGTTTCCTGAAGGTTTAATTTTATACAAGTCCCGAACAAATGTACAATTGTGTCCATCTAGGATACATCTATCTTGAGCATCTTAAAACACAGAAACAGAGTTCCACACTGTAAAGTAGTTCCTATCATTGGTCACATTATATGTAATTAGTTCACAGATTTTAAAACTCCACTTAAAAAGGAATTGAGATGGCCAGACAACAGAGAAACTAATGCTACATCATTTCCTTTATTGTACTAAAATTAACTTCTAGCAACTCAATGCCTTTAATCCATCTTTTGAACTAATCAGTTTTCTAGTTAAAAATGAAAACACAAAGTTTCTACATTCCATTCAACAAACTTTGGGACATCCTTAATCAACATTGATTTCCTTTTCCATCCTTAATGCTGTTTTATGCTTTGACCCAAAGACACAAACTAGTTGTTCTAAGAGGCTTACATTAGACCACCCACTCACTTTCCTACTAGCATTGTATTGTGAAATGTAATCATTGTCCTTACTTTGCTAAGTCCTCAGGCACCATGGAATCTCTTACTTACTCTTATCTACATCCCAATATACAATGTACAATATACAATGAACATTAAAAAAAAAAGGATAAGAACTATCTTACTGAAATATTTCCCTCCCCCAATGTTATGTGTTCTACTGCTACAGTTTGAATCCAGAGTGTTCCCCAGAGTCTTGGGATGTGGTAGAAACATGCTAAGGACATGCATGTCCTTGAAGACAACACGGGAACCCACTCCTTTCTCTTCTGCTCATGTTTGCATTCTTCATTACAGTGTGTAGCCTTACCACATGCCCAAAGCTATAATACAAAGCCAACAACACATCAACCACATAACCATATAAACACTTCTACTTCTTTGAAATCTATATACATGCTTTAATATGTCAAGTGACTAACAAATTACACATTCTGTGACAGCATAAGTTAAATATATTCACCATCTTTTAGCTATTGTGCCTTTTTGAACCTTCACCCCTACTGACTAGTGTTCACAGTACTAGAAGTACTCTGTACGTTACCTGAGGAGAAAGGGAAGACTGACCCAGCTACAAACTCTGGGATCTATGACAGTGACCTAAGCTGTGAGAACACCCAATTATACTATCTGTCTGGAATTAAGGCCCACTCTATGAGATAGAACCCATGCCCGCCAATGCTTGGGTGGCCGAGTATCTAAGACTAGATAGGTCATGGACCTAAGGGGAAAATCAATTATGACTGTTCTGCTAAAAGAATGTAGCAATATTTGGGTGTTGGTGGCACACGCCTTTAATTCCAGCATTTGGGGGGCAGAGGCAGGCGGATCTCTGTGAGTTCAAGACCAGCCTGGTCTACTGAGTGAGTTCCAGGACAGTCTCCAAAACAATACAGAGAAACCCTGTCTTGAAAAACAAAACAAAACAAACAAAAAAAGGAATGTAGCAATAAAATGACTCCTAATGACATTCTGCTGTACTCATAAGTCAATATCTTGCTCAATCATCATCAGAGAAGCTTCCTCCTGTAGTAGACAGGAACAAACATAGAAACCCATAACTGAACAATGTGCAGACAGTGGGAAACCTTGAACACTCAGCTCTAAATGGGATGCTTTCATCAAATCTCTGCCCTCAGGGAACTCTGCAAGGAGGAAGCAGAAAGATGGTACGAACCAAAGGGGATGAAGACGATGTCTACACATGACAGGACTGATTCACATATAAGGATTCAGAGAGACTGGGGCAGCATGCACAGTGCCTACACAGGTCTGTAGTAGATGAGGTCCCAGAGTTTAGAGGGGAAAGAGATACAAGCTCCCACCCTTAGCCTACCTGAAGCTAAATCCAACTGATAACCAATCAGAAAAGAAAGATTTTCTTTTCCAATGGCGTCTCACTGGATACACAAACCATAACCAGCAGTAGACAACCAGCACAAAACAAACTCAATGCTATCTTTGGAGGATTGTTGTCTCACAATGCTTTGTCTGGACATTTTTTTCCTTTAAAGACCTTTTGCTTATATATTACAGTTTCCAAATCTGTTTTTATAGGTTTTCTGTATATGCAAAGGTGTGTCTCAGAATTTGTATGTTTCTTGTGCTTTTTCTTCAGCTGTTTTTTCTATTTGTTTTTATTTATCTTATTCATTATTATTACTATTATTATTATTATCTGCCTGTTTGTATTCTATTGAAACAAAGAAAGGTTGTAGACTTGGATTGGTGGAGAAGTGGGAAACATCTGGGAAGAGTAGGGGAAGGGGAAACCATAATCAAAATGTATTACAAGCAAAAAATATATATTTTCAATTAAAATTACTAACACAGAAACATGAGCCACATTAAAAATATTTCTATAAATAAATCTCAATAAAACCCAGAGACTTTCTCTATTCGTGTTTTTTTCACTAAAAAGATTGTACAGAAATATTGAAACATGAAAGCAATTTGATTTAGTATAAGGCTATCTTTATTTTTTCCAAACTTTGGCAACATTCAAGCCTAACAAATGGTTTGCTTCTCTAGTCTTTCCCTTCTCTCTCCCTGCTCTTTTCCTATTTCAGATATACACCACCCACATATCATAGACATAGTCCAAGAGGATAAGCACCAGTGGGGTGAAGATTTGGTGGGGGAAAGGGAGAAGGTTGGAGGTGGGGGGAGAATACAACTGTGACCAGAATGTATTATATACGTGCATGAAACTGTCAACTAAATTAAAACAAACCAACCAACCAATCACTGAACTACACCTAGTAGGACAACTGTTCTTCTGAGTACCCAGCAGAAGTCTTTGTAGATAACATAGGCAGGGTTGAAATTTTTAAATGAAAGTTAAGTAACTGAAATAATTTTTGAAATAATGAAATTGTACCAAGTATTACAGTGCTACAGCAAAGTCATGCGGGGGGAGGGGGAGCGACTGAAGAAATTTGTCAGTCTAGAATCAGACCCACACAAATATGGAAAATTTATTGTCATTGATTTTGGTCAGGGTACAAAAAGACCTTTATAGAGAAAGTGTAGCCTATTTTTAAAGCAAATAGTGTACTAGACATTCACATGCCAAAAAGAACTAACTTGAAATGGATAACAGGTGCACAGAACTTACCAAGGAAATTTAAGTACATCATCATGACCTAAGGTTAGGGCTTACAATGTTTTACAATCCATAAAAAAAAAAAAACTGATTTATTCAGATCCATTAAAATTAAAGAGCAAATGCCAAAAGAATCAAATCCTATGCGTTTACAGGGCTTTCAAAAAGTGGAGTCAATGCTCCCAAAGTTTGTAGAAGCAGGTCTGAGTCCCTGCTGCAGAGCTAATGAATCAGACACTTGGAGGAACTTCAGAATGTGTGCTTTTAAGTAATTCTACATGTTTTTGGTGGACAGCTGATTCGTGACTATATTTTGCAATGACTGTCACAGCAAACAAGATATGCACATGGAATAACCCAGACTCATGGAGAGCAGTATGATACAGAGAGGGCACATCAGGGAACGGTGCACACGCAGGGAGAGAGGGGCACAGTCACATGAGATAGCAAGTGAGGATGCACGCAGGAGTTAACAGAAGAGGCCAAGAGAAGAGAACAGTCACAAAGGACATGCATATGATTGTTGAAAAAAATGTGAGCTTTAACCTCTGCCTAGGTTCTAAACAGGGGTTTACAAAGTTCCAGGAGTCAAAATACAAGCAAGACAACAAAAATAATCTTAAGAAGAATAAATTGGTAAGACTATCCTAGGTACCAAATGAGAGGCACAGAAGAAACCAAATACGAAAGCCATTCAGCTAATTAATGACAGAGCTCTTACATTTTTGAGTTTGACATTGTTTTTATTCTTAGCCACAGACTTTTTAATTGACATTAATACTAACCTTATTAAAGCCAACAAATACTAATGCCATAACTTTAAACACATGAATAGGGAAAAACATTTTTATAAGCTTACCTCAAAGTAATTTCCATCACATTTTAATAGACATTCATCTAAGAAAAATTCTTTCATGGTAATTTTAAAACCAAAATTAAAAGGAAAGTAAGAAGTAAATTCTGCTTTGTACTGATTGACAACTATACCTACAATGTGTTATAGAAGAACCAACTGATAATCGACCTGAAAAATCAAGTTGGGTATCTTTAAGTAGAAAACTAAGGAATTCCTCAAATAATCTATTGTGGTACATTTTTAAATGAGTCAGATGAAACAGCATACTTGTGGGGGAAGGGGAGGCTATGTTGGAGGTCGAACTCTGAGCCTTACATATGCTAGGCAAGTGCTCTACAGCTGAGCTACAATCCCATTCCTCAACATACATATTTAAGTTTGTTTATAAACCACATTCTTTTACTAAAATTCCTGGTAGATACAGGAAGATGAATTCTAAGAGAACACTACCATCACACACATGTTTATGAAAACCCACCATTAGCACTATGGAGCTGGGGATTGGGAAGAAGACTGTGGGAGCCATGCCAGGAGACGAGTCTATGGGGTTGGGGGACCCAGGGGAAGCTGATAAACCTGAGACTGAAACAGAATAATGAATGGTATGCTCAGTAGCAGTCCACTCCTAACACAAACTAGCATCAGTTATTTTTTCAGCTTCCAAATCCCAAGAGCTCCATGATTTTTTTCTATAATGATTTCTCAATGTTAAAACATCAGTGTAACCAGCAGGAGCAGTTTACAAACTGTTCATTGATGAGGAGAATATGCCTTCTCTTTTTAGTAAGTCAGCTATTGGAGACTGTCTATCTGACACATAGCATGCAATCACTAAATACTTAGTAATGGAAGGACAGTAGGGAGGTGGGGCCCACAGGCATGGCTGTTGCCTTCTGTTTCAGCCTCAGCCCTGAGACCCAGTGCCACTGCACCCTGCTGACTCTGGTAACATTCTTAGCTCAACTGCAAACCACATTAACATTTGTAGCCTTTCCAGGAAGAGTTACTTTAATTTGAATTAAAGGAAGGTTGCAGAGAAAGATAATTTAATCTGAGAGAAGAGAAAGCACATTCCAGGCAGAAAACTTAGCTATGACTAAAGGAGCACATATAAAATATAATGAGAACAACCATAGTATGGGGGTGGGTATGAGAACATGTAAGGAGGAATACCAGAGGATACTAGCTTAGATATCAAATGGTTTCAAATATTAACAAGCAGTTCACAAATCATTATATAGGAATAAAATTCCTTTCAGAGTTATTTTAAACAGAGAAGACCAATATACACTTAAGAATTACCTTGGAGCAACATGTCCAATAGGACAGCTATAAAGGTATGTACTTACTTTCTACATATGTGCCCCTAGAATGATATTTTCTGTTTCTTCCAACAAGCTACTCAAATTTCCATTTATTCATAACATAAATAGCATGCTGAATTTAAAACACCTCATACCTAGGCTTGATTGTAAACTCAAATACATCTACATAGAGAATCTTTGGAACACCAGGAAGCAGTTTCAGGCACCCCAGTGCTGTCTGAAGAGAATCGAATCTAGTAAGCCAAGGGACTGTGATCAGATTCATAGCTGGTCCTGCTAAGTGCTTTTTCAACTTCATCTCACACTGGGTAAACTAAGTGAGAGGCTTCAGCTGTGCGAAGGCTATGGTAAGCCACTTGACAACTGACACCATAAGGCCTAGCTAGACAACACCATTTCTTAAGACCACTGGTGAGGGGGTTGAAGAAATGGTTCAGTAGTTAAGAACACTGGTTGCTCTTCCAGAGTTCCCTGGTTCAATTCCCAGCACCTACATGGCAGTTCACTACTGTCTATAACTCCAGTTCCAGGGGATTCAACACATTCACACAAACATACATATGGGGAAAACACCAAAGTATATAAAATATAAATAAATAAAAAAAATTTAAAAGGTCACTGAATGAATACACAACACTTAAAATTCAGATTCAGCATTAAAATTTACATCCATATTTTTTTTTAAGATTTAAAAATCAAGGAGTAAATGACATGATTTACAAATATATGTGCTTTGATTATACATGGTAAATGTCTATCCAGTGTCAAAAAGAAGGCGGTCACTTCTAGTCTTACCTGCTAGGGATTTTAAGGAATCCAGAGTTGGAAGAATGGGGGGCGATCTTCTCTGAAGGAAAAAGATGACCATCACCGTTAGGGAGAAGTTTGTAATCCACGAACCAGGAATACTGCTTGTTAATGAGTGTGCTCGAGCCCAGCATCGTACACTGAACACCAAGGCTCTTACTCTTGTATCCAGGGAGCCATATATATAAAGGAGTTCGGAACTTTTCAAAGCAATACTTCAAAACAGAAAAGTTAAAAAAACAAAACAAAATTTCAAACCCCAAGTTAGGATACAAAAGTCAAATTAAAGATACAACTGGGAACAGATCTAAGTATCTCACTGTTTTCTGCTTATATTTTGAACACATGATTAAACCAAAAGCATTATGCAGCCAGACTGCACAAAGGAGGTGGAAGCATGGGGACCAGGAGCTGAAGGACAGCCCAGCTATGAAGCAAGCTGGAAGCCAGCCCAGGTTACATCAAAGCCTGCCTCAGAACCACCAACCGACAGCACTCATAATCCAATGTAAAGGCTCAACTATCAAACAAAGTCAGGGCAACTGCAAAAGTCTTAAAATCATCCATGTCCACAATCAAGTTCTGAATCATAGATGTGTTTTTAAGTCAAGTCTCTAAACATAATTTCTTGAATAAAAAGTAAAGTGTCTAAGGGCTCTTCACGATTACATGATAGACAGGAACACTGGGAAAGGCTTCTGCATTGAAGCCTCACATCTTCCTCAGTCCTTTGCAAACACACGGGAAAACATTCTACTCATTTGATCATCAAAGAATTTTCCTGAAATTCTTAACTGAGGAGGGACGACAGGAATTGGGGGGTATTTCATGGGCAATGTGGAAACATAGTGCAATGGAAACTGTCTGGAATCTACGAGAGTGACCCAAGAAAAGACTCCTAGTAATAGGGGACATAGAGCCTGAACCAGCCATTTTCTGTAGCCAGGCGAGGCTTCCAGTGGTAGGACTGGGACATCAACCAGCTACAAAACCTACCTCCAAGATGTGCTGGGGTAGTGGTAGCATAGAACTTGTGGGAATAGCCAACCAATGACAGGAAGCAGGGACTAGATAGCCCAGAGACTTAGGATAGAAGCAAAAATGACTTGACCCCCAATCTGGATAAGTCAGTGGAATGATTCCTAGTGATATTCTACTGCTATACTCAAATACTGGAGCCTAGCCTAATCATCATCAGAGAGGCTTCATCTAGTAACTGACAGAAGCAGATACAGAGACACACAGGCAAACACTGGACATAGCTCGAGAACCCACGGGAGATGGGGAGGAAGGACTGGAGGAGCTAGAGGTGGAGGAAACCACAAGAACACAACCCACAGAATCACCTAAGCAGGGCTCATAGGTGCTCACAGAGACTGAAGTGACAATCAGGGAGCCTATACAGGCCTGTGCTAGATCCTCTGAATGTATGTTATGGTTGTGTAGCTGGGTGTTCTTGTGGGACTCCTAACAATAAGAGTGGGGACTGTCTCTGCCTCTTGTCTGTTCTTGAAACGTATTCCTCCTATTGGGTTGCTTTGTCCAGCCTTGATATGAGGGTATGTACCTAGTCTTACTGAATCTTGTTATGCTGTGTTCGCTTGATACCCAGGAAGCCTGCTTTTTTAGGAAGGGAAATAGAGGAAGAGTGGATGTGGGAGAGAGAGGAGATTGGGGGAAGGGACTGGAAGGAGTGGAAACTAGATGTAAGATACTGAAGGGGAGGGGAGGAGACAGAATTCTTAATTGTGAAACAGCCAAAATTACTCCAGCCCAATGTATAAATACAAAAACAGTTTGAGGCAACAGCACCCATTAGAAATCACATCTCAGAGCTATGCCTGGTATGGTGGTTCATGCCTATGAATACATTTCTGGGGCTGGAGAGATGGTTCAGTAGTGAAGAATACTGATTTCTTTTCCAGATGACCCAGGTTCAAGTCCCAGGACTAACAAGGTGGCTCACCCTTTGTAAAAGTCCTATTAGACCTGACACCCTCATCTGGCCTCAGGAACCAGACACACACAGACTGCACGCAGGTAAAACATCTATACACATTAAACAAAAGTAAAACAATTGAAGGAGGGAAGGATGCAGGGAGGGAGGCAGGGAGGGAGGGGGGCGGGAGGGAGGGAGGGAATCTCATTGTCCTATTAACATTGTAACACAATACTCTAATGTTTTGTTTAGGAGTATAATAAAAAGTGTATTAAGTAAGAACACTAAAAAAAAAGATTTCTTACTTTATAATCTAACTGTTCACCTTAAAAAAAAAAAAAAGGTTTGAGAGTTTTGATATAACTCAGGCATGTTGCCAAGCAGGCCTCAAATACACAATCCTCCTGACTTCCCAGAACTGGGATTATACCCAATTTAGTAAATTCACAGGTCTGTTGGTAGTCTTTATTGAAGCATGTCTAAAAGAGTTCTAAGCTACTATTTCTAAACAAGAAAAGTTAAACTGATACCTTAGAATAATCACATTTAAGAAGCATGTCTAAAAGAGTTCTAAGCTACTATTTCTAAACAAGAAAAGTTAAACTGATACCTTAGAATAATCACATTTAAGAAAATACATTCATAAGGTAATACCTGTTGTTAGTAGTCAAATCACACTGAAATCCAGAGGCCTGATGGGAGAATCTCACAAGTGGACACCGAGCATTTAGTATTTTCTGAACACCCACACAGCCAGGGCCAAAATTGTCAAGGCACTCTCCTATTACAGATAGGATCTTCTGGGTTGCAATCCTTTCTGAAGGAACAGTTTTCATTTGAAATTCCGTTGAAAAATTCCCTGCATTCTGAATATAAAAACATTGATAATTATGAGGGAATTTTTGGAAAAAGGAATTTTTAAACTTTGGGGAAAGGATGATTTAGAACTTAAGAGTCTAAATAACTTCTGGCAAAATCAATACAGTCATACATGCAATCATAATAAAACAGACTCAAGGGTGCTTGGTAGCCTTTGAGATTTGTAAATTATAAGGCGCTAACTTACAAAACACTGACTTTTTATAACTAACATATGCACCACCACAGTCAAATGTGTACATAAAGTACTGATATACACAGAGTCACTTACTACATACATTCTCTGAACATACACCTGCTTTTCCATACAGCCACTGTACCTCAACAGACCTATCAACTCACAATGTGGGGAGAATACAGACAGAAGAAGAGCAGATCAACTAAAGAAAATAAAACACAGAGGTTCCCTTATATAGAGAAGGTCAATGGAAAAGTAAACAAAGAAAAATGCCATCCATTTAAAAATAATAACAATGCAATAGAAATCAACTCATTCCAGGATGGTTAAAAAAAAAAAAAGCCACCAACCAGCAGATCTGAATCAGAGCAGATAGTAGAAGAGTGAGGCTGGACTCGCTCTCATAAGCAAAGAAGTGAAAGATGTACAAAATGACACTATAAAAAAACAAGAGCAAAACAAACAAACACACAAAAACAAAACAGTTCTGAGCAGTGGACTTGGAGACAGAGAACTGGAGCTGTGAGAAATGGTCAGACTAGGAACAAGATAGTGAAGTTGCTCCATGCAGGTATGTAGGGTGCCGTCCATATGGGTGTGCTCTGTATGGAAGCAGAGGCTTCCCGGATCATTTTTAGGTAGAACCAGAAAGATCCATAAAGGGCCACATCTCATTCTCTATAGTTTCATCACTACTTTCAATGACACAAAGAACATAGGCAGAGATGAGTGACAGTCAGTCTGGCTGCTGCAAAGAGTGATGACTAGAGTACTGTCACTGGATTCAGCCTCAGCAAGAGATGGACAGTTGATGGGTAAACCCACTGAGGTCTGTGAGATTGTCTGTTAACAAAGCATAAGTAAATGAGCTTAGATGGACAATACAAAAAGCAAGAAAACATGTAGGATAATCAGATCAATAGACCCTACCCACACACACAGAAAAAATGCAATTATGGAAGATACAGATGACAGAAAGCACATCAATAATGGGCAAAGTTAAGAGACTCTCAAAAACTACTTTTGTCCATCAAATAAACAAAACACAAAGTGGGGGAAGGGAAACAACTCCCTTGGTAAAGTGCTGGCTAGCCAGCTTAACTAGCCAATCAGTAAGTGTTGAATTCAGTAAGAGAGGCTGTCTCAAGACAGGAGAGACATAGGAAGACATTCCATGTTGAACTTCAACCTCCACAGACAAACACACACATATACATGCATACTCCATGTTTACACATACATTACATACTCAGAAAAAAAAATGAAGAAACAGCTAACTCCATGAATGCTTCTAATATTGCACTACATAGTAGTAGAAGAAAATCTAATGAAGGAAACACAGAAACTAAGCATACAGCTCAAATCAGTCAGACATCAGGAAAATACTACTTGGGACATAGTTATTAATTTTCACTTCTATTGCCTAAATCCTGCAATGTATATTGACTTTCTATTAGAAAAAGCAGAACTAAAGAAAACCAATGGAAGATGTAAGCTTACTATTTCATTCTAAAGAGTCTTTTGTGTTACATTCACTGGAACAAATTTAGAGACACTGAAATTTTACTATTTCAATTAGTAAGTGATTCTTCATTTATTTATCAGTAAACAACCTGTTAGTACCTGTCTTTCACTGGGCATCATACACAGTAGCTTGAAATGTAGAAAAAGGGTCAACATACAATTTCTAACTCCCTAAACTCAGGCTGAAGAAAAAACCACCAGACAAAGAATTATAAGACAAGATGGAGTGTCAAGTTTATAGTTGGACAAACTATCAATAATATTTTGGAAACTAGGCAAACTTAAGAGTGCTTACATTGTCATTGTATGATTATTAATTTTTCTAGTGGTAAATCTATGATAATCTTCAATGAGGATATACAAATGTCAAATTACTTCATCACAATGGAGGAAAGCCTTTTAAAATTAGTTTTTCCTAAATACTACCACAATACTTCAGAAACTTAAAGAATTAAAACTAAAAGCTATTTACAAACTTCTGCTTCCAACAGAGAAAAAAAATACTTCTTCCTTATAAAAAGGTAAAATAATAATCTTTCTGCGGATGGGGACAACAGTTGAGCACTTAGGTCCAATCACTTAGGTTTCCCTGCGTTGGTTTCACGTCCAAATTTCAGTTGGGAAACTGGAGACTTGGAAAACCATTCACCCAAGACCATCCTGCTAGTAAGCAGAATCTGACTCCAGCTGGCTACAGAGCCCAGGCTTTCTAACCACAACAACTCTGCTATGCTCCTTGAGGAAAAAAAGTCTGAAACACCTATGATGGTGCTTTTTGGTGTGATAAAAATAATCTAAGAGGGTTATATCACTCTACAAATACAGAAATAACACCAATACAAAATTGTACACGTTAAATGTCTGAGTCACATATTCTGTATAATATATCTAATAAATAAATAAAAATAGTGTCACATAATTTAGGTGCCCATGCCAGGAATTTAACTCAATTTCCAGTGCATGCTAGTCTCACTAAATCTGACCCATTTCAATCTGATGCCATTCCTACTCCTTGCTAACTTCAGTTCCATGAACACACACAGCTTTGCAGGGTCCATGACTAGAACTGTAATGAAGTAATCTACAGCACACACCTGCCCTGCTCAGCTATGACACAGTGGGAGACAATCAAATCAGTCCCTAACTAACACGACAGGAAGAAACCCTAAAGCCAGAAATACCAGTAAGATACGAAAGACTGTGGGGGGAGAAAAAAGAAAGGATGGCTTCAAGAAGGTTGAAGTAGAAGCAGGTCTTAAAACTAAGAGACAAATCTTTTCAAGGCTGTGCTAACATGAGCCATTCAAGAATGGGAAAAACAATCTATGATAACTCCTAGACAGTGGCACATAGAAAAAAGTAGAAAATAGTATGTTTCAAGGTCTATTTGAAAGCATATAAGGGACTGTGTGACTATCAACATTGCAGGTAAATTAAAACAAGTAAAAGAAGCCAGCTGGCAAAACTAAAATGTTACTAATATCTGAAACACACCTATGTGTACAGACATGAGCATCAGCACTTCAAACCCTGAGAAAGAAACTTTACTGCGCATGTAGAAGAGACACAGTAAATGACCTGATGCTAGACCAACACAAAGGCATTCTTTATAGTCCCAAACAAGCCCTAGCAGATAAACTTCATTCTTTAGTATAGATAGAAATCAACAGCTATAACTTTATTAGATTCAAAGATTTCCTAAATTTTCTAGTTTCTTATAGTGGTGCAAAGAAATAATCATTACCTTGTGAACATCAAGTTTTCCAATTTCATCTAGATCTAAAAACATGTCCAAATCACATCCCAATTTGCCAAATGTGTTCACTGAGGAGCCAAAGGGCCGAACGACACAGCCGGGAAAATATGCAGCAGCTATGTCCTCAACGAGAGAGCAGGTGAGATGGCGGAGCCTGACATTCTCCTCTGTGAGCTGGAAAGCCTTCAAGAGAGTGTTCAGCTGATCGTCTATCTAGCTGGCCAAAGAAAGCAACAAAATACACAGATATTTAGGTCCGTAAAATAATGTCATTTCCTCAGCTTTGGAGATTTACCTTAAAAATACAATTATTTTTTTCTTCAGTCTTAAAAGTAAACAAAAAAAATGTATTTGCATGTGTGCACTCACACAGGTGTGCATATGTGTGTATGTGGGGGTATAGGGGATGTGTATGTGGTACATTAGTGTACACAGATGCTTTTACTTCTTCGTTCACAAGGAGATCAAAGGTCAACATTGTGTGTCTTTCACATTTGCCTTCTACCTTATTTTTTGAGACAGAGTCTTTCCTTTATCCTAGAGATGACTGTTTTAGCTAGACTTGCTGGCCAGGGAGCTTCAGAGATCTACCTGTCTTCACACCACCATCCCAGTGCTGGGATTGTTGGCACATGCCACAATGCTCTGCTTTCATGTGGGTGCTAGGGATCCAAACCTGGGTCCACATACTTACACAGTGAGCAATTTTTCTACCAATCCATCCCCTCACCCTTAAAAGTTGATTCTTAAAAATACTAGCAAAATAAAACTTGGTTAAAATATGCTTTGTATGCAATCAGTAAAAAAATACTGTTTTAGAAAAAGTAAGGAAGTATCTCAAAAGAGGTCAAAACAAACACAAAGGTCACAGTTGAAAGGAAGCCAGTATCAAAGGGCAAGAAACACTAGAATTCAAGTATTTAAAGTCCCACAGTAGCAGGGCGTTGGTGGCGCACGCCTTTAATCCCAGTACTTGGGAAGCAGAGGCAGGCGGATCTCTGTGAGTTTGAGGCCAGACTGGTCTACAGAGCAAGTTCCAGGACAGCCTCCAAAACAATACAGAGAAACCCTGTATCTGAAAACATACAAAAAAAAGTCCCACAGTTCTGTTTCATAAATGAGCCCACTAACCACTGACTTCTTAGAGACTGACATTTAGGGTTAAAACAATCAAGACGCCAAATCTGTACTAGAGTTGGATATCAAACTACAAATTGGAGCTTTGAATGCCTTTATTTGAAAACAGCCCTGCAAGTAAAGGAATTGAGCACTAACTAAAAAAATAAGTCAGTGGAGTAAAGGAAATGTGTAGGCTAGAAGCAAAATTTTAAAAAACAGAAAATCTATCCAAAAAACAGTAGATAAGTTGATTCCTTTTAAAGATCACTAACCTAGCTAGAATAATAAAAACACTACGATAAAGATATAAAAGTAGAAATAAGATACTTTAGCATTTATAGAACACAATGTAAACAACTATTATGTTGAGAGGAAAGGGTCCCAAACTTATGCAACATGTGGTTTACCCACAAGGTAAGGAGAACAATGGCATGGGGTCACAAAGTGGAAAGGGGAGACTTATTTTTCATTCAACAAATTCTGCAGAGTACATTTCTTTTAATTACTTGTGTGTGTGTGTGTGTGTGTGTGTGTGTGTGTGTGTGTGTGTGTGTGTGTGTCTGTGTATAAACTGTCCCAGAGCCAGAAGAAGGGTTGGGTCCCCTGGAGTTGGAGTTACAAGCAGTTGTAAGCACCTGACATGGGTGTTGGGAATCCAACTTGTCCTCTGCAAAAGTAGCAAGTACTCAGAACCTCTGTGTCATTTTCCAGCTCCCAAGTAGAAAAGAACATTCTTAAAGCATTTCTACTCATTGATAAAATTAAGAGTTATAAAAAAAAAATTAGCCAAGCAAACATATGTTGTAATGTATATCTTGACCAAATAGATAAAGTCTGTGAATAGAAGAATAGCTTGTAGTGAGGACATTTAAGACTGCAATTCACTGCTCTAAAAGAAATCCGGAGGAAAAACATACAAGAATTTTGAGATCATACAGCAGTTATCAAGATGTTTGTGAGGACAAACTAAACTTCACACCTGTTCCACAGGATGCATCCACCAACTCTTAGCGGAAAGCTGCCCTTGGTAACACTATGCACCCACCATCATCACTCACCTCTACCTCCTTTCACCATATAAAAGGAAACAATAATGTAGCCGAGGAGCAGAACTTTTATAAGGCACAAATATATACTTTAAAAATCTGAAGTATACATGTAAACTTACGTTTTCTGCATAATTCAGTAATTCAAAGAGCTTCTTGCTTGAAGGAGGTGACTGGTTGTTTGTCTGTGCATGCAACTCTTCAGGTATCTGGTTAGATGAATTCTTTAGCTTTAAGTTCAAGAAGCGTGACTTAAACGGAATTGCAGGCTCTGTACTCTGTTTTGGAATATGTGTACCATTCTGCAATGAGTTTACACCGTCTTTTTGGCAAAATTCTACAACAGCATAGAGACCCTGAAAAAGAAAAAAAAGCATGTTTGACAATGTTATATTCAACACATTAACACAGCATCCTTAAAACAATTATACTGTTATAAAATACTCCATTTTGAATTTTATAAATGATACAATTCTAACACAACTCATTACAAGTAAATTAGGAAATGAAACATAGCTTTGCTCTATACTGAAAAGAACACTGTAATAGGACAGCATAGAGCGCACAGCTCAGATCCCTTTCGCTGTCAATTTCTATAGCACTTGACTCTAAGGAAGCAGTCCTCAAACCATGGGTTGTGATCAGATATCCAGTATATCAGATTTTTACATTACATGAATCATAACAGTAGCAAAATTAGTTATGAAGTAGCAATGAAAATAATTTTATGGTTGAGAGTCACCACAACATAAGGAACTGTATTTACAGCATTAGAAAGGTTGAGGACCACTGGTCTAAGGTCTTCAGATTATGGAATCTCCATTAGATGTTACCAACAACTCTAGCTTGCTTTGTTGTTGCTGTTCTTCTGGTAACACTGAGGACTGAACCTAGGGTCTCAAGTATGCTAGACAAGTGCTCAATTACTGAGCTACATCCCAGATACAATTCGAAAACACTGCAATGAAGTTTTCCTTCCTCATACACAAGGAGGGAAAGCCTCAATAAAGAAATCAACAAACAGACAGAATATCAAAAGATCTTTGTTTGCACACTACAAAAAGCAAAAAAACACTAATTTCAAAAGTATAACCACCAAGCTAGATAGATATCTAGATACATACAAAGCTCTCGTAGAAGAAATGATTGTTAATTGGTCCATGCTGGGATAAATACTTAAGAAACTTTTTCTCATTGATATTATTTGGGCAATGTATCAAAACAGTCCGCTGAGCCTGTTCTCTTCTTTCCTCCTGCACCTCAGAGAATCTCTTTTTGGGGATCTTGTCTTCAGAGCCTACAAATGAGACAAAAACATTTCTACTAATACACAAATAAAATTTAAAACATGCTGATAAAGTATATATAGATTATACATGTGATTAAAACAATTTTATCCTAACCATAGAATGTATTTATCTACTGTGTGTGCATATCCATGCCTGTGCATTGGCACACATGTGGAAGTAAGTGGACAACTTTTGGGATAAACTCTCTTCTTCCACCATGTGGCTTCTGGGAACCAAAGGTGATCAAACTCAGCTATGAGCACCTTTTTAGCCTAGCTGCATTTTTTGTCCCCTCTTCTTTTTAAGGTTTATTAAGACAAATTGCTTTTAATATTTATCTAATAATTTTTTTTAAGACACTCTGTTACCCTGGTTGGCCTGGAACTCACTATGTAAACAAGGCTGGTGAAAGCTCAGAGATCCTCCTGCCTCTGCCTCCCAAGTGCTGGGATTAAAGGTGTGTGCCACCACATTTGGCTTATTTTACTGTGACTATCACTAAAATTGTGATTTGGAATACTTGAAATGTAACACTGAAAACCACTCTGCAAGGCCTTACAAGCAAAAAATGAGAAAGTAAACCATTTATTCAACACTTCCACAATCACACACATAACAAAACCTGTACAATCTATAATACTGAAAAGCCTAAAAGAAATTAATACAAGTCTAAGTGTAATCAAACTATGATCTTAAGGCATTTAACATACTGTATTAAGTTACTATAATCATTTTCTCCATTTGAAGTCTTTATCTGGCTCAAACAATTAATACCCAGTTGCCATCAATTAGGCACCCTATCACAGGGAAATTTAAAAAAAACCTAAAACCTAAGGCTGGAGATGTGCTTCAGTTAGTACAGTACTTGCCTAAAATGTACAAGGTCCTGGGTTCAATCCTCATTACAGTCTAAACTGGGTGTGAAAAGTACATTTTCATATTTTCCTGTGAGAAGGAAATTTGGGCTAATGACAGTACAAGCTGCTGAATCCTAAGTTGTCCTCATCAGTACCAGCTCAAAGTCAAGCTCCTTACAGCACACCAGAGAACTGTGGCCTTGACCCCTCATGGTTTTTAATGAGAGGCAACCACCAAGTGGAAATGTCACTTTTACCCCTCGTGTGCTCTAGCTGCAGACACACTCACATCACTTTTACCCCTCGTGTGCTAGCTGCAGACACACTCGCATCACTTTTACCCCTCGTGTGCTAGCTGCAGACACACTCACATCACTTTTACCCCTCGTGTGCTCTAGCTGCAGACACACTCACATCACTTTTACCCCTCGTGTGCTCTAGCTGCAGACACACTCACATCACTTTTACCCCTCGTGTGCTAGCTGCAGACACACTCACATCACTTTTACCCCTCGTGTGTGCTAGCTGCAGACACACTCACATCACTTTTACCCCTCGTGTGCTAGCTGCAGACACACTCACATCACTTTTACCCCTCGTGTGCTAGCTGCAGACACACTCACATCACTTTTACCCCTCGTGTGCTAGCTGCAGACACACTCTTTCAAATGTGCCTCCCTCTCCACTCCATGTCAGTCGTCCACTCTCATCAGGCCTGCCTGTGCCATCACACAGCCTGACACCAAACTGGTCTCAGGCACTCTTGTTTCGTCTCCTTTGATCGATGCTCCACATTACTGCCAACATGACCTCTTCTTCTCTTCTACCTGGACACTGAAGTCTAAATGCCACAGCCTAAGTCACCGCTCTCCTCCTCAGGGTCAGCTCTCACACTTCTCACACATGGCACTGCACACACAATCCCACCTCATGCTAGCTAAGAACTTTCTGGCTTTCATGCCCTGTTGGAATGCCCACCTGCTGCTCCCTTTCTGTCTGGCCAACCTCCACTCAGCCTTCCAATTTTGCTCAGGTGTGTGGAGACCTCTGCTGCTCCACAGGAGACTGTCTTCCACCTCCGTGTCCCTCCACTTTAGTATCTATGAAGGAGTGCAATGCATAGGATAGTCACGTAATATCTATGTAACAGTCCCGAAGACTGCCTTCTTCCCCAGTTAAGAACAATTTGAGCTTAGCCTTCGGACTGTTCTTCCTCTCTGGCTTCATTTTCTTCTCTATTATGCAATAGTCGCTGCCTGGGTCACCTGAACATTTTTTGGTTGTAAATACCTCTTAGACATTCTTGTTTCTCATTTTTACTCTGAGTCTAAACTGGTGTCCAACTGCTTGCTATAAAGGTAAATTAAACAGTTAGGACTATATAAATTGAAAGCATAAGTCTCTTCCTGGCTTATTACCTTAATAATAGCTAAGGTACACTTTCTTCTCTTTTGAGCATCTGGTTACTTGCTATGCAGTAACCAGAGTCCCTGCATATTTATTCATTTACATTACCCTAAAAATGATACAGCTGTACAACAAAATCTATAGTAAAAGAGGATGGACTCAGAGTCAGGAGTTTTAGTGCTGCTCTTGCCACTGTGGAGATGGGAAAGCTTGAACTGGAAAGTCAGACTTGCTTTTCTTTTTGCCTTCTCATCTATAAAATGGGGTCATGGGGCTGAGAAATGGCTTGGTATTGTAAGAGATTGCCACAGAAGTTTGAAGACCATAATTCAGATCCCCAGAACTCAAGTAAATGCCAGCCAGACATGGAGGCCCACTTCTTCAGGCAATGGGTTTGAGTGAGAGACCCTGCCTCAACGAGCCAGGTGGAAGAGCAGTGCTGACGGTTCTCCACACCAGCCACACACTCATACCCACATGTACCTGCACACACACACACACACACACACACACACACACACACACACGTCCATACACATGCTACCATGAACACACACACACACCGAAAATGAAAAAAAATGGAGTAATGATTCCTTTTGTTCTACTCTAGAGGTTTGCTTTGTGTCCCAAAGAACAAGTAAAAATGTTCTCAAACTTAAGCCACCATACAAGAGACTTCAACAGAATCCTTATTTGAATTTGCAGAGTTACTTCAAATTTTTCAACAGGAGCAGCTTCTCCTAAGTCCAATCCAATCACTATTCCAACACGCAGCAAATTTCTTGCAAGGCTGTTCTAAGAATTCTGAAAACCATCCACACGTTCTTGGGACACGGGAAAGGTTCAATGAGAATGGGATCTCAATAGACAAGGTGTGTACATCTAGAAGGTTCCTGTTAAAACAATGGATGAAAAACTTGCCAAACAGGTTGTACTGAAACCCCAAAAGAACGGATATTTCCATAGGCAGAGGGTTCTGGGAGTCAGGAAAACTGGCTGTTCAGTAAGCTTTGATGTGTTCAGCCTTCAGTGACATCTTAGGGCATTGCACTGGCTAGTTTTATGTCAACTTGACACAAACTAGAGTCATCGGAGACGAAGAAACCTCATCTGAGGAAATGTCTCTATCAAGACTGGGCTACAGGCAAGTCCCTAGAGCATTTTCATAATTGTGATTGATGTCAAAGGGACCCGCCCACTGTGGGTCCTGGAGGCTATAAGAAAGTAGACTGAGCAAGGCAGTGAGCAGCATTCCTCCATGGCCTCCGTATCAGCAGATGCTTCAGGCTCCGGACCAGCCTGAGTTCCTGCCTTGGCTTCCCTCAGTGAACTGTGAGTGGAAATATGAAAGTCAAATAGACCCTTCCCTTCCCACGTTGCTTTTGGCCATGGTCCTTCATCACAGCATCAACAACCTTAACTAAGAGATTATCAAAAGCAGACGCACGGCTCAGGCAATATTATTACTACCATCACTTGCTAACTATGATTATTATCACACGTTTTTTGTGCCGAGCTATAAAGTATTCGCCAACCGTGTCCCTGGCCTGAACAACTTCACTGCTGTACACGGGAATCGTCCCGCACAGAGATGAAACCTCCACCTGGGTTTCTGACAGGCCTCAGAGGTCCGGCCCCGAGCCCGTGCCGCGCTCCCTCCTCCCGCCTCGTCCGGCCGGTCACCTGTCTCCGCACCCCCCGAAGGCTGCTCTTCGCTCCCAAAGTTTGCGGCTACAGTCCCTGGACAACTGAGGTGCCTGGAGGAGATAGAGCGCTGGACTCGGCTCCTTCTCTGGGAATGCAGGGGCAAACGGGTCAAAAGCCCCACGCCGCGAGCCGCCATTGTCGAGGAAGCAGGAAGTAAACGCCAAAGGTTAGCGGGCTTCTGAGCATGCACGCCTAGAGGCGGGGACAACGGGAAGCCCTTTGGGTCAAACTAGGAAGAAACTTTCGCGTTGAAAGAAAAAAAAAAGATGGCAAATTTAACTATCTGTATGCCTTACTTCACTGTACTCTGGTGAGGTGTTACTACTCCATTACACAGAGTTTAGCCTGTGTTTTATTCACATTTTGTTGAGGAGGAGAATGAACGAGCCTCAGGAGTCAGGCTCAGGTCGGACTTTCAGTGTTACTGTTTTGTCCCCAAATAGGCACTTCAATACCTTTTGATAAGTGCTAAGTGCTACTAACCTTATTAGGTTTGCATGAGTATTACGTTACTTCTATAACTGACTCAAATTTTAATTGGATTCCCCCCAACTTTCTCCATTTATTTCTAAGCAGATTTTACTAATTGACCTATATGCCTGTATTCCACCTCACAACAGAGGAACTTTTCAAATTTTCTTTATTTGTGAATTATGTGTATATGTGTCTGTATGTGGGATTGTGCACGTGCATGCAATGCTCGAAGAGGCCTCAAGAGGGCATTAGTTCTCCTGCGGCTGGAGTTACCCTGACCTGTGAGCCACCTCACATGGGTCCTAGGAATCAAACTCTGGTCTTCTGCAAAAGCAATGCGTGCTCTTAACTACTGAGCTTCTTCCCAGACCCTCAATAGTTTTTTTTTAAATAAATGTCAATTAAATAAATGTCAAATATAAAAAACAAACAAATGTAAATTATCAAAATAAATATAACACCTAATATTTAAAATGTATTGAACATGGTATACTTAAAGTTACTACAAGAAACTCTGAATACTAGTGAGGCCTGTAATCTTACAGCACTGGGAGTTGGAGGCAGGAGGATCAGAAGTTGAAGGTCTAGTGCATAGACATTTCAAGGCAGAGTAAGCTACATCAAACCATGTCTTAAATAAATGAAAGATTTATTCCAAGAAAAAGATAACTTCAAAGGTTTTATCATACATATGTACATATATTATGTGTAAATACCTTATCATTGACACTCTAATATATATAGTGGAGTAAGTTATTTATACAGTGACTAGGATAAACAACAGAGCAGTTTTCATTTTTATTTCCAGACATTGCTCTAATCTGTATTTACTCTTTCAGTCTCTATAACTCAGGGGGTGAAACCTGTATTTACTCTTTCAGTGTTTACAAGCCAGTGAGGTGAAAACTATCACCTCCATCTGTCGCCTATGGAGGAAGTAAGGCAGAGAGAAGGTAACACTCCTGACATTACACCCAGGAGCTAAATCCGCGTGACCCACACAAGTGGTTCTTTTTTAATTATTATGTAGACTTACAGTTTTGTTACAGACACCCTGATCGCATTGGTAACATGTTTAATCATTGTGTCTAAGCCCTTTCGCTCTCACTTCCATTCATCTGCCCCACCACAACCTTACGCATTGACTCTCTTTCTCTGCAGAATGGCCAACTTGGGATATTTCGTTTAATTTAAATCATGTAGCATGCAAACTCTCACAAACAGATTCTTTCATATAGACAATGTTTTCAATCTTTCTCCCGTGCCACAGCCAGGGAGACAAACGATGTCCCATAGATTTTGTCTCAGTTAGGTGGCAACAAAACACCATGACCAAAAAGCAAGTTACGGAGGGAAGAATGTATTTGGCTTACACTTCTACTTTGCTTCATCACTGAAGGAAGTCAGGATCTCACAAGATCCTGGAGGCAGGAGCTGACACAGAGGCCATGGATGGGTGCTACTTATTGGCTTGTTCCAGAATCCAGGACCACCAGCCCAGGGATGGCACCACCCATAAAGAGTTGGGCCCTCCCCTCATTGATCACTAATTGAGAAAATGCCTTACAGCTGGATCTCATGTACTCTAGATTGTGCCAAATTTACATACAAAACCAACCAATACAATGTTGATGTGCCAAATGTACTTTTACATTTGCCAGATTGTGGACCTTGGTGCTTTTTTCCTACCTTTTGACTATTTTAATTAATGAAGTGAAGAATATCCCTGTATGATTTGTATGTGTGAATGTGTGAATCTGAAGGTCAGAGGTCAACACCAGGTGTCTCCCTCTATTTCTCTCTATCTCTCTCTCTTTTTTATTTTTTTTTTTGATAGAGTGTCACTCATGGATCTGGAGCTCACAGTTTTGTTTGGACTGACTAACTAGTGAGTCTCTGAGATCCTCCTATATCTGCCTTCCTTCACCTGGAGCAACTGAACTAGATTTGGGTCCTCTGCAAGAACAGCATGTATTTTTAACTGTTAGATCACCAACCCAGCCCCTGTTTTAACACTAAGAATATATTTATATTTATTTAGCTATTTATTTGTGTACATATGTGTGACAGAGAGAGTATATATGCACACATATGTGGATGCCCACAGAGGCCAGAGGGCATTGGATCTCCTGAAGCTGGAAGTATAAGCACTTGTGAGCCACTCAGTGTGGATACTGGGAATGGAACTCTGCAAGAGCAGGAAATCTCTCAGCCCCTGCTTTAACCTTTTTAAAGAACTCCTAGACTGTAGTGGGTTTTTTTGTCAGCCTCCAGCTCACAAATAATGAAATAAAGACCTCTTATTGATTATGAAAGGTTGGCTGTTAGCTTAGGCTTGTTCCACTAGCTCTTATAACTTAAGTTAACCTGCTTTGGTTAATCTGCATCCTATCATGTAACTCAGTTACCTCCACACTGTACTATAATGTCTGGCCTCTTCAGTGTCTCCCTTGGATCTCCTGCATGCCTAGACTGCTCTTCCCTATAGTTTCTCTCTTTCCCTGGAAGTCCTGCGTATGCTCCCCTGCCTAGCTATTGGCCATTTAGCTCTTTATTAAACCAATCAGAAGGCACCTTAGGCAGAGACACATCTTCAAAGTGTAAACAAATATTCTGCAATAGTAGGGTTTTACCTAAAGGGACTATACCTCTTTCACTGCCACCAGAAATACATGAGTATTTGAAGTTTTGTACATGGTATTTATGTTTGTTTGTTTGTGTAGTAGTAGCTTTTCTGTTGCTGTGATAAAACACCATGACCAAAGTAACTTATTGAAGAGTTATTTTGGTTTACAGTTCAAGATAGTTAGAGCTCATAGTGGCAGGGCAGAGCAGATAGGCACGGTGACTGGAGCAGATGCTGAGAGCTCACATGGTGAACTTCAAGCACAAAGCAAAGAAAAAACACAGAAAATGACTCATCTTTAGAAACCTCAAAGCCCACCTGCAGTGACATACTTCCTCCTGCGAGGCCATACTTCCTAAACCTAGTAACTGGGACTAAGTATTCAAACACCTGTGCCTACGGACAACATTGCCAATCAAACACACACACACACACACACACACACACACACACACACACACACACACACACCACATCCTAGTGGCTTTGAGATAGTGCTCAGGTTTTTTATTTGCATTTCCCTGATGGAGGCTGAGCATCTTTTAATTTAATTAATGTTCTTTGTGTATTCTTTCTGGAGAAAAGTCTATTTCCATGTTTTGCTTTAAAAATAAAAACAAAAACACGCAAACAAAAAAAGCTTGATTTATCTCTTGTTATAGATCTGGAAGAGGGATTTTTGTCTGTGGGGGTGGGGGTTGGTTGCCCTTTGTATTTAAGAGTTGTAATAGGTTCTATGAAGATCAGGAACCCAAGAATTTGTACCTTTATGCAGTGCTCTATACTGAACTGTAATTTTGGCTTCTGAAATGTTCTTTATATAGTCCTCAGAAAAGGCTTATTTTGGATACAAGACCCTTATATTTGATTTGTGAGTATTTGATTTCATTCTGTAGTTGCTTTTCACTTTGAAAACAGTCTGTCACATGTGGCAGGGGCACATGTGGAAATGAGAGGACAGTTTGCAGGCATTGATTCTCTTCCACTGCCATGTGGGTACCAGGGATTGAACTCAGGACATCAGGGCTGGCAGCAAATGTCTTACCCACAAAGGACTCCTGTCCACTTCCTGTTATCACTCTCTTTATTTTATTTGTTTGGGATTTTTGTTTTGTTTTGTTTATTTTTTGAGATAGGGTCTCACTCTGACTATCTTGGAACTCACAATGTAGACCAGGCTGGCCTGGTGCTCACAGATCAGCCTGCCTCTGCCTCCGGAGCACTGGGATTAAAGGCATGAGCCTCTACATCTAGCTTCTGATTTTGCTTTCTTAATGACCAGATTGCCATAACTCTACAACATCACATCCCCATACAAAGGCCTCCGAGAAGGATCCAGGCATTTCCATTCTTCCTGGGAGAAAGTCTATAACCGCATCCCTGAATATCAGGGAACCAGAATCATGGGTGACCCTCCAAAAACTGTTTCATCACAGAATCTCACCCATCATGGATGACGATTTTCTGGAAGCTGCACCATGGAGTCCTCCAACTCGTTTTATTCATAGGTAGATTACTAGATAGATAGATAGATAGATAGATAGATAGATAGATATATTAGACAGACAGACAGACAGAATACAGACAGACACAATAGCATGTGCTTTTCCAGGGAAGATGTGAAGAAATATCTATTTCTGTCAGATAGGGCACCAACAACAGACCAAAGTATCATTCATTCAATCCAATGTGGCTTAGTGAACCAATGGGTTTATTATAACTTACAGAGGTGGCTACAGGAGCATAGGTGACCCCAAAGTAGTCACATCACCAAAAAGCCTCACGGCAACATGGATGATGACTTATCCATAGCCCCCCTTCAGTCAATCTCCACACATTACATACTCTAGCACCTTCTAAGACCCACGTATCCACGTACTGTGCCGCACAGGCAGAATTATATACAGCTGGCAGGGAGGTGTAGGAAGGGGTGGCTGGATTCTCAGCTGAGTTCTAGTAAAGCTTCCAAACCCCATGCTCTGTGAGGAATGTCAGCAACCCCAATCTTGGGGCCTCTTGTGAACTGTCACTGCTGATCTGATGGGTTGATTGATGTTAAGCTCAAAA